ACTCACAGGATTGACGGCAGTAGTGTGAACTGGAGTGAGTCACAGCACGCTCCACATGTTGCTAACACCAGCTGTCATCACCTGATTCTGTGGCTTATATAACACACACTGACTGCCACTTCGGACCTCCCTCTCTCTGTGTCTAAATGTTTTCCATCTTCTTTGTCCGTCACCCTTATGGCTTTTTATTTCCCCAATCCATCTCTCTCCCTCTTCAAACACTTCATTGCGTTTTATTGTGCCCCTTTACTTTGCTCTTGCGTCCTTGTCTTTCAGCGCATGTCTATCTCTGTTGCCAAGGGTTTCATCATTCCCTCTCTCTCGTTCCATGCCGTCCAGTGCTCCCAAAATGCAATGATACGGCTCAAGAGTGATTTATTCCAGAGCAGCATCCCTCAGGAGTAGGGGTTGACCGATATGTGTTTTTCAGGGCAGATGCCGATACCGATTATTACAGACCAAGTAGACCGATAACCGATATATATGTCTGGTGTAAAAATTAAAATTAATGTCAAAATGAAGAATAACAAGGGTTCTGACAAAAACTCCCTTCACTGGTGTTAGTTGTACTTCTTACTCTTGTCTTCTTCCGTGCATCCATCTACAATAAGGGTAATATAAAGAGAGAGTTAAAAGTGGGGCCACTGTATGCTTCATGATTAAGCCTATGAATACTGTACTACAGCTAAACAGCTTGGGGAAATGTAAGTATTTGGCTTCAATAATTTACATGTTAGAAATGTATGTGTAATAGCATAACCTCTCATAATTCTTCATTGATTCTTTTCTGATGACTAAATCATAACCTACAAGAGGTGACTGTTCAATTCATCATCTAATGCACATCAATGGATTAACTTAAAAAAATGTATATAATAAGTGTAAATAATTAAATTGTCTTCATAGCTCCATTGTAGAAGTTGTTAAGAAGACCGCAACTATTTTAATGAAACTATAACACTAATAGCCTATTTTAGGCAAACTTGGTTCAAAAGCCTATTGAAATGTCTCAATTTTTGTCATCCTAATCTTAGCCTA